TGGCCAGGGAGCAGCGATCGCTGCTTAGGCACTGTCTGGGTATCGGTCGGCGGGTGGTGAGCAATTGCATTGTGCATCACTTGCTTCGTATATCATTATTATTATTATCATTATTATACTGTTACTATTATCATTACTATTTTACTTTATTTCAATTATTAAACTGTTCTTATCTCAACCCAGGAGTGTTTCTCACTCTTACTCCTCTGATTCTCTCCCCCATCCCACCGGGGTAGGGGGAGTGAGCGAGCGGCTGCGTGGTGCTTAGTTGCTGGCTGGGGCTAAACCACGACAGTTACGTAGGAGATCGACCTAATAGTCCCTTTCAGCCTTAAGATCTGCAAGTCTATGTCAATTGTTGGCTTGCAATGAAAAGTCCGATTTCTCATCTCCATCCTTCAGCTTTTTGGCTATCTCCATATTTATGAAGCATTACCGTGTGTTCTTTTCAAGATTTTACCGGAAGAGGATGACTATGGATTTGACATGGAAGAAAAGAACAAAGCAATTGTGGTGAAGTCAGTTCGACGAGGGTCTTCTGCAGAGGTACGACCTGACATTCATAAATATTTTGGGTTTGGTACCTAAGAATATTTCAGTGCTTTGAAAAGGTACAAAACTATCCTTAAAGGTCTGTTTCATTTTAAAGGCAGCTAATGGAAAATTGGATATCTTCTGCAATTCCTGTGGTAATAAACTGTTTCTGTAAATTGCTAAGTGTTTTGGCATCTTTGGGTTACTTGCTGAATGTTTTTGATAAGTGATAGGAGAACAGCAGTATCTCTGTGTGATGATAGCGTTCTTCAGGTTCATTAGCAACTTAAATTCAAGGAGGGAGTGGAAGTAACTTTGTTTTGGGATAGCAAAGATGTTCAATGAGAAACAGGCTTAGAGTGAAAGCTATATTTTTAGATTTGTATTTTTTCCTTAAAAAGCATGCACTCATTTCTCTCCCTAGTTTTTTTTAAGAGCTCTACAGAATATATTTGCTTTGTTTCTTTGAGGCATGTAGATGGCCCAAATGTCGTAGGATCCGAGTATTTCATAATGATTTGTTTATCTATGCAAAACCTTTGAGTGGATAACACAATGTGATCCTCCACTTACTGAAATAAGGCACAGACAGACGGAAAGTCTTTTTATAAAAGCTACTTAGGTGCCTTTTAGCACCTGTGAAGATAAGAGAGGACTAAATGACTTATCCAGGGTCTCCGGTAAATTGTGGCAGCACACAGGCAGTACTTCTAATTGAAAGTCCAGGACAACTACTACAGAAGTTTTTTAATGTCCACATTCATTTGTTGGTCACTGCTTTAGGCTACAGATAACTCATGGATGACTAGCCCAATGGAAACAGCTAAGTGGACAGACTGATTTTAGCAAGATGAGAACATCAAGCGGGAAGGAATTTTGAACTGAAGTTTAATATTAGCACTAAATTATTTCAGTGTTCCTGATTCTCATTTGGTTTATGGTCACCAAAGAAACCAATCCTATGCTCTACCTCATGCTCAAAATCAACATACATTGGCCAAAAATTTTATTAATCTAAACCTCTTCTGTAAACCATTGCCTGACAGATAATCCTTCTGCTCTTTCTTTGGCTGGATGCCTGTGGAATATCCTGCAAGTCTGTTGTGTTTTAAGACAACAGAAGCACACAATTTTCTAAAGAATCTTTTTGTTGATCTTCCAAGACAAACTATCTGTGACCGTGAGCCCATCTTTTCAACTTAATCTTAAAATACTACTCCAGAAAAGAATTAAATCTGCATCTCTCTGAACCAGAGGGCTGTCAGCTCATTCTGGAAAGATCTGAGAACCAACAGTAATGCGTTTGATTACACTCTTGGGCTTTTTTTAATTGCTTTGTGTTACTAGAAAGATATCCAGCATGTAGTTCTGTGTGGCTCAGCAGCTGTAGGCCATTTAGACAGCCTATGCCTGCTGTCACACTCTTCAGGGACAAAAATTAAGACATGCAGCTTTGCATTGCATCACAGTGAATTGCATTCATTAGGACAGGTTCACCAATTAAGTGGGAACAAATATATTACTTGCACGGATTTATTCAAGATTAACACATTCTATTTGAGTTTGGGATTGTGGTCTCTTTTTCCTAGTATACCTGGAAAAAAATTGTCATGCACAGGTTGTGGCGACACACAGCATTGAACTTCATGCGTGTGCAATAAGGGTCTTTGGGGGTTTTATTCAAAATCAGAGTTGCCAGACATTGTTCTCTCTATTATTAGTGCCTTTTTTGTTCTCAAGATTTTTTAGAAACTGTTTTGTGAGCTGTTAGATTTGCCTATGCCAGATGCAGTTCCCAAACTGTGTTTAGAAGTTGTTAAGAAAAGAATTGCTGGAACATCAAATTCCTGTACTGACAGAGCAATTGAACTGCAGTTTGGGAACTCTTCGCCTGACGTGTATGTTCAGCTTCTCAGTTTTGGCCCTTAGATAGAGTAGTGCCCTAGTGGGCACTACTCATGCACTTTCTTTCCTGATCCTGAATGATGAGCAGCTCTCGGCCCGGGACTCTCGTCTGTTGGAATTGTCCCCCCATGCTCCTGGCAGCAGCTGCCTGTGACTAGGAACGCTTGCTCAGCTCACCTAGAAGGAGGGTCACAAAAAATCATATAGCAGTGGTTGGTTGATGCGGACTGTGGCACATCCCATGCCTGTTCCAAGTTCATGTGTCTTCAGAAAGAGATTCAGAAAATCAATGTCTCCTCAGGTTGTAACTTATCTTTCTCTCCAACCCAGCTCACTTGCAGGTTAATTGTAGCTGTGCTTATTCCCACAAGTTTTAATCCTGGAGCTGGTTTATGAATGATACTCTATCAGAAGGAAGCAACAGTGAAAAGAATTATCCTTTTGGGAGGTGTGGTTGCTGTCTTACTCTGAAGAGCCAGCTGACGAGCAGAGGTCTAGTGTTTGAACAGAGCGTGTTCAAGAAGCAGCCAGTTGGCTAATGGCCATGCAGATGAACAGCAAATAGCGAGCTGCTGGCATTTTGGAAAAAACAATGGCCCGGATCCAGACAACTGCACTGAGTTGTCATAAGGAGCATCTGTTATCCAGAAGCTCTGTGACACTGTAGATCTTTACTCTTAAAGACACATGCTGTCTAATCTTCCTTAGCCTGGGTAGTTCTATCCCAGTAGAGCAGCAGATTTTATTTGATGTTGCTAGTTTGTAGGGTTTAATATGCAACTTTGTGCCTCATACATTCATGGATTTGCTGTGATTATGTATGCTGGTAGGTGTCCCATATGCACAAGCAGTAAGTTAGGAATATAAAGAGGTCATCCACAGGTAGAATGATTGCAGGTATGCAGAGAGTTTAGCTAATCGCACATACATTAAGTGCGTGAGCTACTTTGAGAAAATCAGGCCTAGAAAACAATTACTTTAGAAATGTATATAATAATTATTACTTTGTAATAAACTCATCAGTATAAGTAAATGCAAATAGCAGAAACATTTCCATTGAATTATAAACTAAAGTTTGCCAAATTCTATTTTAAGTTAAAATGTCTATTGCTGTTTATCCCTATTGCCCATTTTAGAGATTATTTACAAAAATGAAAGATGAAAAATGTTATTTCCAGGTGCACAAGAGGATGTTGTCAACCGTAGAGAGCTTGAGAATTAAATCAAAGAGAGCACTTTAGTTTTTCATTTTAATAGCTTTAATTTGAGAAAAAAAGTGTAGGTTTTTGTAGCTAAACTGATCTATGACTTTCAGACCACAAAATATATTTAAGAAAAGCCAAGCCATGCATAGACATAGTCAGCAGGGATTTGCAGATTCATTTCTAAAACAGGTCAGATTTCATATGTGGGAGTAGTACTGTTTAGACCTCCTTCTTCCAGGTCAAGAAATTTGTCAGTGGATTCCAGGCAGAATAGGAAAAAGGTTTGTCACGTTTAGAAGCAAGCCCAACTGCTGGATCTTGAAGTGATAGGAAGTAATTCTAACCTGGGAAGGGTTAATAATTTTTTTTTTTTCTTTTTACTCCATTAAAGGGAAGTTTATATTTCCTTGATATCCTAACACCTAGTCTAAGCACTGCTATGTCACATTTTAACTGGTATAGATCAACAAGAGGTATGTTTAGGGCTATTGTCCAGTGGGCAGAATAGGGGAGCTCAATTCTGTCATTGGATCTGTGTCTGACTTCCTGTGTGACCATGACCAAATAACTAAAGTTCAGTGCAAAAACTAGGAATTAAAATGAAAATCTTGTGGCTTTTTAGGCTGATGAAGAGCCAGTACTTCACTTAAAGCAGAGACAGGTTTTCACCGCCACTTAAAAACAGGTTACTTTTACTTATGTGACTAGGTATAGATTGGTTTTGCATGGCTAGTGGTTGAAAACTATGTCCTTGGCTCCCTGTGCCTGAGCTGCAAGTAGTGGGAAGTCACACTTCTGTATCTCACTGGTATAACACAGCCAGTCTATTACAGTCCCCTATTTTTTAGTCCCCTCTTTTTACTATAGTCTCCTTTTAGTAGTCCCCTATTAAAAAATTGTAGCAGAAAAGTACAAAGACATATCCATTGCAAAGTAACATGGCATATTTGTACAGATACTGGTGAAACCTTTGTTTTCTGTAAAAGCAAACAACTTTAAGGGTGACTGACAAATGGTTTGATGAACCAACACTGTATGTATATACAGTATTCCATATGACAGTAATCCTAGGAACATCCGTAAGTAGAGGACAGTTGAACCTCGGAGCCTGAACTTTCAGAGATGCTGCCAATGATCCAAAGTTTTCTGCAGTGTTTATTTCATTTGCAGATGGCTGGCCTGCAGACAGGAAGAAAAATCTATTCCATCAATGAGGACTTAATATTCCTACGCCCATTTTCAGAAGTGGAAACCATCTTAAACCAGTCGTTCTCCTCACGAAGGCCACTTAGGCTTCTTGTAGCCACCAAATCAAAAGAGTAAGTGCCAAGATGGGCAGACAGACAAGATTATCTAGAAATGTCAATTACTAAATTTTTCTCCTACAATTTGTAGTGAAAACTCTGTAAACACTTTGCTATGGAGAAGCTGTTCAATAGGAAAACAAATGACATAAATGAAAGAGATACAAGAGTCACAGTTTGTTTTCAGTGATGAACCTTGTGCTTCTAGAACAAGTTAGGATGTATTCTCTTTATACTGCAGACTGTATATAACTTTTGGCTTCCTTATGCACAAACAGAACTGAATCGCAAGGATTGTCATTCTGTGTCAGGTGTGAAGCTTCTCAGACTAATACGTGTCCAAGGCAAAGCAATTTCCACTCCATTAAAGCTTGGCTTATTTTTGGATGACTCTAACAATACCAGCCCTTACAGTTTTTCAGTCCATCATTGTATCTTATAATGATGCTTGGCCCTATTAATAGCTTGTGCATTATTAGATTCCGTAATCCCAGAATTTGCCATAGAATTGAATGTCTCAACGAGCACTTGATGCTAAATTCTAGTCCAGGATGTCTTGTCCAGTCTTTTTGCTTTTTTTTTTTTTTTCTTCTAATGGAAAAGATCCTTAGCTGGTATAAGTCAGCAGAGCCGCACTGAAGTTTGCCTAGAAATGAAAGGGAATATAAATACCATAGAAAGTTTCTGTCCTGTGTTATTCCCTTAAAGATGTAATAAATTTGGAAGTGCCAAATTTTAATTAACAAAGAATCTCTCATCTGCCTTGGAGAATGACGATGGAGTGGATGATTTCTTCACGTCTATGTATTTGTTATTTATTTGTAAATTATGTGGTGTTTTCTTTAATCCAAAACACATTGGTGAATGCTGGGGAAACGTGCTGCTAGAACTGCCAGAGCTCTGGCAGCCTAACTTAAAATGCTGCTTTCTCTTCTCCTTGATTTATCTGCAGGATTATTAAAATCCCAGATTGTCCTGAAGCACTTTGCTTTCAGATACGGGGAGCAGCACCACCATATGTTCGTGCAGTAGGAAGAGGTAAGTAGAAAGCCTGTGGTATAGTTAAGCTTGGAGTACAGCTAAATATATATACGTGTGTGTATAAAGTGTGTGTGTGTGTGTATCTGTTTCAATTAAGAAATATCTGGGTTTCATTGTGAAACTTGTTCTAAACAAGTTCTGACAACTTATTTTAGTACCCATAATGACTAGGAACCCCTGTCATAGAGAAGGATTGCACTCACACATAAAACCATAGAACAGTGAGATAGTTCCTGCCTCAAAGTGCTAATAATCTAAAATACAGCCTAAGAAAATGGCATCGTTATTATGAACTGAGTGTTCGGTCACTAATCCCATCAACACAAATCAAGGAATAACTTAATTCTACAGTAGAAGGAACTTGGGGATACTGCAGTCCACAGTACTGTGGAAAGACTCTTGAGAAGGCATTGAGCTTGAGCCCTTGCAAGCCAGAAATGCGCTTGCATAGTGATCCTAACCTTGTTTCTTCTAAGACTACTAAGATACAGCTTGGCAGCCACAGGGAATAAAAACTAAAAACTGAAGTGGCTGAGAAAAAGCTGAAGTGTAGTACTGTCTGTTGCTTCCTCAGTATTTTTGCCTGGGATCAGCAGGTTGGCAGACACATCATGTTTCTTAATGGACATCACAAAGTGTGATAGAAGACTTGAAGACTGCTTCTCCCTTTACATTGGCTTATACTGCTATATTGGCTTAATACTGCTAATTTATACTGCTATAAATTGCCAACATAAGATAGAGGTAAACTACTTTCCTTGGTCTTTTTAAAAGGAGAAAACACACTTTGACAGAGATATTTACTACTTCTGTAACCAAAATGTGAACTGAGCTGCAAATAAAGCACAGCTCTAACCTTTATTTTCAGCAGATGCAGAAAATACCTTTCAGACATGTACCGCTTCCTTCCTTCAGAACAAATACATATATCCAAACGTGCAGTTAGTATACAGACAACAGGCAGCACCCAAATGCGACAAACAGTGTTCCCGGGGAGACACATTTATTACGCTCTTTCATAACAGCACCTATAACCACTCTTTAACAGTCTGAAGAGTGCAAACTGGAAATGCCAGCTGGAAAGGTTTTCCTTTTTCAGGATTTTGCTAGCAAAAGACAAACTGCATTTGGAATAAAACTGTATGAATTTTAAATGATGGTGCCTTAAAAAAGCTAATCACCTTAACTGTAGATTTCTAGGAGCTGGACTTGAGTCTGAGTCTTGTTCACATGAATCTGGAATACATCCACTGAAGCTGAAGACTTACTCTAGTTTTAAGTACATCATAGTCTTTTTCTTAGACCATGGCAAATTGCGTAACATGCAAGTGTTCTCTATCTTTCAAGTACAACAAGCTGAAACAAATGTAACTGTTTACATTTAAGCAAGCCCGCAGCTAATGTAATCATAAGGCTAGAAGAGCCATAAAAGAATCCCAAATGATTTCCCACAGGAATTTCAATTTCTAATGTGAATACATTTAGGTCTAGGAGGTCTCTGTTTTTCCCAGCACTACTGAAAATATGAAGGATGGGTGCATGTTTTCCTTACACAGCAGAGCTCTCGGAATACTTAGTAGCAAAAGCATGACGGCATTCAACTAGCTTTTTCTTCTTACTCTTCTTAACCAGAAACCCTTTGCAAACTTTCCAGTTTTCTCTTCCGCAGTCAGATGGCTTTACTGTCTGAACTCCTCTCCTGCTGTTTTTTCAGGTTCTGAGGCTGCAGCTGTAGGCCTTCATCCAGGGCAGTGTATTTTGAAAGTTAATGGGAATAATGCAACACATGGAAATTATATGGAAGTTCTGGAGCACTTTACAGCCTACAGGACCAGACAACAGGAAGCACTGGTATGAATACAAAACCTCAAAAGAAGTACATTAATTCCTGCCCTCCTGCTGTCCTCCGCTTCTTCTGTGCTTTTACGCTCACTAAATATTCAGAAAAACAACTTATATATGTCTCTCTTGATTTATTCACTCCCATGCCAAGGTCCTAGTATAACTGAGGGAGCTGATTACAGTTGCATGTAGTTGCAGAATGTCTACAAATAGTATGTATGCCAATTCATACACTGCATACAGTACTAAATAGCACTAACTGTTGCTAAAACTAGAAGTTCAAACTAGTATATAATCTAGATTATATAATGATCTAGAATATAAATTCTCTGAAGTTCAGCGGAGAGCTGGGGTAATGTTGATATTTCAGCCAACTTAAAAGATATAAAATTGATAGCTAGATTCACCTTTGTAGGCCAAACATATAGAGATCAGGCATTTTTACTGAGGTCATGGCTGAAGCCTGTATCTCTTGAAAGGGATTGTACCAGTGGGTGTACAGAACACATGAAGATGCTGAGGAGGACAGAGTTCAGCAAGCAGCATCCACTGCATATCTGAACGGCAGTCATCCTGGCTCCAGCAACGAAGACTCTTCACTGGAAGGAGGTGCGGAATTGGATCCCCTTCAAAATAGCCAACAGGAATCAGGTAAAGATTCTCATAGGGGAAGGAAACCTTGGGAAGGTTCAGGGGCTTCAGGAAGGAAAATTGCAGTAGAAATACAAAGTGTAATTATTATTGTAGAATATCTCTTGTCTTATAGTCTAATAGGATGAGGTCTGCCAGAGGAAGAACTCTTATGCTGCAGTTTATTCAGGAGAAGAAAAAATTGAGATACACACAGAAATCATACCACTGTGACTCTCTGATCTTGACCAGAGAGACAGTTTCTGGAATGAAAAGGCCTGAGCCTTTTTAGAATCATTTGGTAGCCCCTGCAAACCAGGGCAGTAGCAGCTGGAGAAGGAAGGTCTGCAAGTAACTCCACCTAGAATAACCTATGTTTTCTGTGATTTAAGATTAAATATTAAGATTTTAACTTACTTTGATCTGGAGCAAGTTTCCAGAGCCTGTTACCACTGTGTCAGCAGAAGTTGCGGGTGTATTTCCTCCAACTTAGAAAAGTGTAACACATAAGAAACACTGCTTTACCTTCATGTTGAGAGCTTACTCAGAAAAGCAGATGTTAGGGGAGAATGCTGAAGCCAGATTCCATCCAAAGGACCAATCCTTGACTCTCTGAATGCCACTGGCAACTTCTCCAGGAACAGATGCACATCTGTGTGGATCCCATCTAAGGTCTGGTGAGCCTGGTAATCTAATGGTCAAACAGTGCAGGCCCACGGTGCAAGAGCTGGAGCAGTGCCCTGGTAGAGGCATGGGGGCAATTCTCTGGCAAATCTCAATCTGACTATAGCTTAAATCTGTTCTCTGGTGACAGTAGCATTGCCGTGTGTAAAAAATGTTATCTCCTAACCCCACCCCTGCCCTGCCATCTCAGTCTTACAGTTGCACAGAAAATGCATCCGGAGCATTTCCCAAAAGTAGACAGAAAAGTGGCGGTCCTCCAGAGGGTTATTACAAACAAGACTGAGATTAACATACCTCACTTCCCTTTGAAAGCTTCTGCTGCGGTCTGTGTGTCTGGATGCTGAATAGAACTAAAAGTAGTGTCGTGTGCATGCACACATGGAAGAACATGAGAATGTGGATTGGAGCATGTGGACTGTCTAAACCTCTGTCACTGTCTCCAGCAGTGGCCAACAGCAGATGTTTTTCTCAGAATATTCTACCAGCCTCTAGCAGTATGTGGTTCAGAGACTCCTTGAGCCAAAGGTTGTGTCTTTGGGTCTTTGCATTTAATAATACCTCTCAACAGGTTTCTCTTCCCTGTGCATGCCTGTATTCATGTGTGCTGCCAAACACCTCTAATGACTTCTTTTGGTTCCAGCCCAGACACCACAGACCATCAGCTCTTCTCTGACCATTGGTGAAGAAACACCTCTCATTAGCCTGACTGTGGATAACACCCACCTGGAGCATGGGGTGGTGTACGAATATGTCAGCAGCGCAGGAATCAAATCGTTTGTCCTGGAGAAAATTGTGGAACCAAAAGGTTGCTTCAATCTCACTGCAAAGGTACCAGAAAACATACATGGCCACCTTCATTCCTAAATGCAACAGGGAAGCCAATAATATGGGCATTTCTCTGGTAGCTTGGCTTGGCTCTTTGGATGAGGTAGCACATGGTCTTCTCAACGCTGCCTGGAGTTTTCTTGATTAGAATGCACCAAGTTACAATAGCTTGTTCGGTATGAGCAAGTCAGCAAATGCTTCCAGGACTTCAGCTGTTGAGGTGGAGAGAGGGGAGCCCTCAGCTGTGGAATTCTCGCTTTTATCTGTCTGGTAACATACTCTTTGCTAATACTCAAGATTAATCTTTTCAGGCAAGAATTTGCTTTACCTTGGAAGAAAACCAAGGGGCTTTTTGCCATCTGTTAGGTGGGATGGGCCACTAAAGGAAGCAAGTAGAACTGCTGCTATTGGAAAGCAGCTGTGCACTTAGTATTTCGGTCATCTGTTACAATAATGAGCTAATAGTAAATGTTTTGTCACATCCCAGTAACATGATTGTTATGTCCCATAAAAGTACAGCAGAGCAGGTAACTTTGACACTGCACAGTGGATATTTTGATCCATTTCAGTTATTCTAAGAATTTTTGAGGAATGTTTTATGACTCTGGGGATTAGACATGACAGTGATTCTCAGGCGGTAATAAAGGCAACTTGTTCTGAAGGCAGCTTTATGCAACCATGACAACATGGAGGCTTTGCTGCTTATTCAGTGGAAGAAAACTGTATTTTCCCTCAGTGTCAAGTTTCATATCATTGACATCCTGTCTTTTTGTTTAGATTTTAGAGGCCTTTGCTGCAGAGGACAATCAGTTTGTAAGGAATTGCAAAAGACTTATATCCCTAAGCAGTGCTGTGGCCACCATGCCCCAGTATGAATTCCGGCAAATCTGTGACACTAAGCTGGAAAGCATTAGCAGAAGGATCACAAACTACCAAGAGGTACAACACTACTAGTTATTGGTGAAGTCTCAAGACAATACTTCATTGTGATAACTGGGTCTTAATATTCTTTATTAATGAATCCGAACTGCTTCAGAGGTAGGTGTACTACAGGCATGAAGACAACTCTGCAAGTTATTGAAATTGCAAGTTTTGAGGAAAAAGGACCTTATCTGTAAATCACTCCTTTCAGCTTCTCAGAGCTGTGGCGTGTAACATAGTATTGCAGGATCGTTTCCACCATACCAGTGAATAAATATGACAACAGAATGATCAGTGTCTGATTTAACATGCACATAAGTACAGCTATTTTGCGCAGTTATCTGACCTGTTTGAAAAGAGAGTCCTAGAAGGTATGGATAATTGCTTTCATTTGTTGTTTTATGAGCTTTTCTTTTTTTAATGTGTTATTCCAGCTGCAGCCAAAATCATATGATTCTGGAATAGGAGGCAGGAAAAGGATTGTCTCTATTGCATCATAATTTTTTGCAAGTGAAGTAGCACATGCTTGCTTTCTTTTTCCCAGTTTGCAGATGAATTGAAAACAAAGGTGAGCCCAGCCTTCAAACAAGCCATCATGGAACCACATTTCCTCAACAGCATGGATTTCTGCCCCACCAACTGCCATGTTAACCTCATGGAGGTATCGTACCCCAAAAACACTACCTCAGCAGGGAGGTCGTTCAGCATTCGCATTGGACGGAAAGCCTCTATTATTGGTCTCGATCCAGAACAAGGTGATCATTAATTTTCAAACCATACTGATTTTATCTGCATAAAAAGTTGTGTCTTTCCACTGCTCAGCAAGGTCAAAATAGGTTCCAAAGAAACACAGTCTTGCCAGTACCCTTTTTTCCTCCTTAAAATTTTATAGTAAAGTGACAGCTTCCTTGTGTTGTAAAATAGTAATGCCTTTAAGCATAGAGAGCCTTCAGGTCAAATGCTTTTACTAGCTGAGCAGTGTGGTCATCTCGTGATAATGAAGTGTCCTGGAGTATTGTTTGCACTTAGTAAAGGTGACTTACTGTCCAAAAGAAAAGCGAATGGGGGCTAGCAGTAGTGCCAGTGCTGTGAAGAGAGGCTACATGCAGGGGGAAGACATGAGTCAGATTGTAGTGCTGTTTTCTTTTGTCATTACTAAATAAACTCCATGCATTGGAGCTGAAAGTCTCTACTCTGTGAAGGGGATCTATTTTCTGATAAATAGCTGCTACATAGCATTTTTCCTACAACCTGATTATTTGAGTTCCAACGTTTCTTCATCATGATCTCACCTAATGTGCTTCTGATTCATTGTCTTGTGAAGGTCAGAGTGCAGGAATGTTTGGAAGAGACACAGGGAAGTGTGGACTAACCAGTCTTCTGAAGAATGGCATTGACTATTAATAAAGATACTATTAAGAAGATATTAAAATTCCATAGTATTTTTAATAATGTAAACTAAGGTGGTTAGCAAATGCCATACCAAAACTGTCAGCATTTTTAAATGAAAAGGAATTTTATTTATCTGCTGTAAGGACATAATCCTGTATCTTTATATATATATGTTTGTGTGTGTGTAAATGTTTGTAAAGCTGGAATAACACAGGCCAACTTCTGAGAATCTGAATTCATCAACATTTCAACAAATGCTTTTATATACCATCCATGTTGTCTGTATGAGTGTATGTGTGGACAGTTGCTGTCTTTACTTCCATAATTTAACCTGTTTCTGGACTGCAGTAAATTCAAGACATCTAGTTGGCATGCCAGGGGAAAAAAAAAAAAAAACAACTTTTTTTTTTTAAGAATGTTTTTGCCATAGCATGTAATTATATAAAAACATTCTTTCAATTCTTATTTTTTTCCTGTTAAAATTCCACGTAGCCTAAACTATGATTATTGGGATGGAGTGGGGAAAGTCATGAGAGCCATACTAACTACACCCTTCAATGTTTAGCAGGTACCATAAATCCAGTCTCATATACCCAACATTGCATCACCACTATGGCTGCACCATCCTGGAGATGTCTGACCCCAGAAGATGGAGATCTTGATGGTAGCTTTGGTCAGCAGAATGGAGGAACAATTCAGGAAGAAAGGGGACTCAGTTTTCTGCTGAAACAGGAAGATCGGGAGATACAGGACTCATACTTGCACCTCTTTAACAAACTTGATATTGCAGTGAAGGAAATGAAGCAGTATGTCATTCAGATAAATAAGTGAGTAAAGAATCCTGTATGCGCTGCAGAGAGCAGTTCTGATAAAATGGAGGCATTAACCTCAGAAATTGTGTCTATCCGCCCCAACTGTCATACTCTTACACTCGCTTATTCACACATGCACTTGCATTACACCTCCTTGCCGGTTGTGTCAAACCTACTCCTGTGCAGATCTACCAATGTATATATTATTGCCCTTTGCTCCTAAAAGTCTACCTGAATTCCTCAGCCACTGTTTTGCTTACCATATGTTGCAGCATAAGAATCTGTTTGGTGCCAACAGCAGTTTTGGAATTCCATACAGACAGAGTCCCTGCCCTTGAGATTTTGTCTGTCATAAGGTAGACTAAGCAAAAGTGTGATTTCAGGCAGCTTTCTCTATGGCACCTATGCTTTTCTTTCCTCTTTCTGTCTTTTTCTTATCGTGGGTCTCCTAGTAGTAGTAATAAAGGATTGGAGTAGTGTGTCTGTGTATTGTGCATAACTGGCAGGGTTTTGGTAGCACGGGCTGCAGGGGTGAGCTGTGTGGGAGAAGGCCATAAGCTGCCCTAAGCCATTCACAGCCACTTCCAGGAATCCCAGTAACAAAAAAGAACAGCCCATCATACACTAAAACTTCAACTGACCATAAATGATGTGGAGCCTTGGTTTAAACATATTTAAGAAAGGGCAGTAGCTGCTGGGTAGAGCCAGTGAGCCGAGGCACTGCCCCAGAGAAGAAACCCAGCGCCTTGGATGGAGAAAGTGAGGACTTCGCCAAATTAAAGACAGAGTCCTTTCAGGCCACTATGGTTACAGTGATTAAGCTGTACCTTATGGAGGTGGGATACCTATGGAAACATGACCTTTTGTGAACTGAGATTCATGGATTTCAATGAACCCCTTTCAGAGCTTGCAATTTTACATATGTGTAGTCTGTGTAAAGTAGGTTGGGAAGGTTGCTTTTGATTTCACGTAGCTGAATTCCAATCTTAGTCGTTATACCTCATTTGTGAGACTACCCACCAGTCCCTGAGAGCTGCATGTTTTACTTTTGCAGACTTTTGTCCACCATAACAGAACCTACAGAAGGTGGTGCCTGTGAGCCACCATCTACTGAGGAAACATCTCCACCTTCCCTGGGAACAGAAGAGAGTGATCCTGACAAAGCAGAGCATGGTGGAAGCAAGAAGGTCTGTTTCAAAGTTTCTGAGGAGGACCAGGAAGACTCTGGGCATGACACAATGAGTTTCAGAGACTCCTACAGGTTAGTCTGAAGATTATGCCACTTTTACCTTACTAATACAATGTTTTGAAGCTCTAATCAGGTACGGATTCAACAAGAAAGGAGGAGCTTGTATGGGTGTGTTACCCAAAATCACACAATTGTCATATGGACTCTTGCTAAAATTATGCCATAGTACCTGCAGCTCTTTTCCTCATCTTTGTCTGTCTCATTTTCTCTCAATATTATAGTAGTAGATGACAAATTGATAGATCAGGGTTCTTTTCTAGAGCAGATTATTCACTATTTGCATACACCAGCAGGTACATGCATGACTAAAATGCCCAGGTATCAATCTGAGTTTTCCAAAGTGTGGTAGATGTGCATGAACATGGTGCATTTCTCCATGGTTCACCAGAAGGACTTCATGTGATCTTAGTCCAAACAGTGTCCATGGAGTAACATCTATGAAAAGGAAGCAGTCAAAGAGTTCCAGATTATAAGTCTTGACACAGTGTGCGTCTGTTGCAGTGCCATCAGGATAACCACTCTTTGTGTGGCTCTGTGATGAGGAGTGATGAATTGCCACATGAGGCGTCGTAGCAGAGTGGAGGTCCAGATTTCCCCAAGTTGTGTCTTCATTCCTGTTACGAGTGTTTTCTCTGAGCTTTTCTGTTCTCAAGAATTCTTCTATTCTTGGGGTTAAGTGAACAGAGTTACCATCAAATAAGAGGCTGCTGCACTTCCTTTATTTAACTACAACGTCTAGAATTCTCTATCTGGGTTGACATTTGCCTGGTTCTGTGCTGCTTGCGTCACAACGAGCAGTATAGTAGTAGAAACCACCAAAACCACGCAGACCTGACAGACGTGCAGTGGACGCTGGATTGTTGCTGATATGATGACCCTCAGAACAATCTTAAGATCTCATGGTTGGCTTTTTGACAGTTGCTGGAAGGCTTAGTTGAGGTTTTCCAGATAGACTACATCCAGCATCAGTCATGGTGTCAGCTGTGCATCCCCCAAGTGAACACCATGGGGTTTTTTCCACAGAAGCACACAGGAATTAAACATCTAACTCCCTTAGTCCCTTGAAAATACCACCCCAGCCCTAACCCTCTTAAAGGTTAGAACTAGTTTTTCTGAGTTTGATTATTTGAAATAACATTATTTTCCAGTCAGTCAGTTATTCTGTATTCACTTAGTGAAGTATTCACTAGTTATAGTTATTTCATTACATTTATTACCATGGAGACACATGGCAAAAAACCTCTTCTCATAACAATGCCAAAATACCAACGCTTCTAGAAAATTGAATAAAATGAAATAAATAGGTCTAGTGTGACTTTCCCTTTCTATATCATATAACTGGAAAGTACAGAAGCTCAGCAGAGTTTGCAGACTGCTTGGTCTTAGAATATTGTAAGGGAATGTTTCCATTCAATTCTGCAAACAATTTTCCCAATTTTCTCACACTGAGAAACAGAAGTGGACATTGAATTTTTTATTTTTAATGGGCCTTTGAAACCGCAAATGCAAATGTTTATTCAGGTGTCTCAAAATCTTGGTTTTGGGACATGATTGACTGCTACTTCTCCAGGAATATTTGCTAGCAAAGGAAATCTCACACACTCCAAATCTGTCTTTCTGGGGAGGAAACATTTGGAAACTCAGCTTCAGAAGAAATGGAACAACAAGTTGCAGTCATGTCTGGCCATTGCAATTTTACATCCTTAATAGACCATTTTTACATTTATAGTAAGGTCATAGGACTTTGCCTATACAAAGGAGTAAAGATGCTTTACAGTGAGTTGGGAGCTTTAGAGTAACCTGAATGAATTACGCGTCTTTGAAACTTCCACACTACAGGGCTGATTCTTCACTTGCTGTTGGTTTTGTACTAGTACAAGTAGTAATATGTTACATTTGTGTAGGACTGCAGAAATGACAGAATCAGAGCGGTTTACATTGGAAGGGGGCTCTGGAGCTCACATGGTCCAATCTCTTGCTCAGAACAGGGCCAACAAGATCAGTTGCTCAGGGTCTTGCGCAATTGAATATTGAACATCTCCAAGGACAACAAATACGAAGTCAGTAAAGAAACAGAACCAGCACGCACAATGTTGAGATCTGTGGCGTCTATTTATTGTGCTAGATTTAAATCTGCACATGTGCTCTGAAGCTTTGTTATTGACATGTGCTGTATTTCTTTCATTGTTAATAGGAATCCCATTTATGAACACTGTTTATTTTAAATGGTTTCTGTAATTGAGGCTAATCTATTCTGGGTCTCTCTCTTGTTCCAAAATTTTACACATAAATGTGACAAAGATTATTCTGTCTTATCTTTATTAGACAGAGGCAGAGAATTAAGCATATATTACAGATAATGGTTACTCAAGGGAGAATGAAATGTATTTTGATGGTTTTTGATCTGAAAAACTACTGAGGAGCTACAAAAATAAGCAAATTACAGATAAGAAAATATCTTGTTTGCATTAGCCATGCTTCTTTCTCCAGGATCATTTGGAGGTGTAAGTCAAATTTCATAAAGGTTTGTATTGCAGAGTCGTTGCCCTAAGTATTAATCTTCTTCAGAAAAAATAGGTTTCTTTGATAACAGGTTTAACAAAGGACAAGCAAGAACCCCGGTTAGGGTTCTTTCAATTGCTCTTGTATTTTTCTCTCATCTCAGTCTAAAATAAAAACAGAGGAAGAGACAATATGGAGAATTTTGTAGGCTTTGTTTTGGGCTTGTACCATTAAAAGCACTGTGTCACTTAATTGAGAGCCATAGCCTTTTTCATTACTTTTATTAAGTTATAGTTAGTGTAAAGTGAACTTTAAACAGAGAAGATTCATATTAGAATTTTCCAGGTGTGCATGAGCCAACATTGGTGTGAAGCCAACTGTAGTGACTCCTCCTGAACTGTAGTGAGATAGTTTCAGGATCTGCAGTGCCTGATTTTCCAATGGTATAGATTCCTTATATTTCCTCTCCCATCTCCAGTATCTGTGCTACTGCAGCTTCAGTATATGCTGGATTAGGATGCTGTAATATCCTGAGAATTGGGAACAATGTTGAGTTTAGTGGAGATTCAATCTCATGGATTTTAATTATTTCTCCCCTACTCGATGCTCATAGAGCATGTTTAATGATGCTACCCAGATGAGGTCCATGGTGGGAAGTCCATTTTCATTATTTATAGGATCCAGGCGATATATTAAGCATTGAGTGGTCACTACAAATGAAAAAAGGCATCCTCTTACAGTGCCAGCCCCACAGGCCTTGCTTAATGGTTGTTCTGCATGTAATTAGTTTTTCTTTTGCATATGCATAACAGAATTAGTTTGGGGCATTGCAGTGTTAATAAAACAGAGTGATAGTATATCAGAGTCTGGGTGTAAGAACAGCTTTTATTCAATCACCTTCTTTGCTTTTCTTTCTAGTGAATGTAACAGTAACCGGGACTCGGTATTGTCATACACCAGTGTACGGAGTAACAGCTCTTACTTGGGCAGTGATGAGATGGGATCAGGTGAGTATATGTGTGGGTGACATGCATATTTCTCATACCAGAACCCTTAGCAGAGCTAATAAGTCTGCTGATTATAAGCACTTGCATGTTTAAGTTGCAAATGTGGTTTCTTCAAAACTAATCATAAGAACATGAAGGTAGAGATTTGGGTTTTTTTCTAATGAACCACAGTAAATTTGGAATATGGAAGAGGTATTAGGCAGGGATAAGCTACTTTAGTTATTGGACATTTGCATTATATGAAAAACCATGAGTATTTTGATCTCTGAATTAGAGGTAAAGCAGCAATCGTTTTTCACCCACTCCAGTGTGAAGGTGTGCTTGTGTCATCTGTGGCCTGATCACAGATTACATTTGTAAGACAGTTAAAAGCTTTTCATCTTTCCTTTATTAGGAGATGAGCTTCCCAGTGATATGAGGATTCCTTTAGACAAGCAGGACAAACTTCATGGCTGCCTGGAACATCTTTTCAACCAGGTATGTAAAGCATTACTCTTACACAGAATTTCTTTCTCTTTATCAATGTCAGTACAAGAAATTGGAAGTATCAGATTGTTTAGTGAAATCATATTTTGAGGGAAGGCAAACTATCAAGATTTTGGGGTACAGTGTATTGTAAGCAAGTATTATCATAGGACAATTTGAGGAATCAACCTTGTCAACATTCAGGTTGCCTTGTGTGATGTAAGCAAGGTTTACCTGCCTTATCTCAGGCATTAGACTGTGAAAGGAAAAGGTGAACAAAATTAATACCTTGTATGATCTAAATGGATCACATTTACAGGTCTCAGGAGAGTCCTCACAAGTTTAGTCAACTTGATGAGAAGTCTTTATAGATGTATAGCACCAGAGAATTGTTTTTTATTACCTTTTATCAAACCAGCATGTAGAGCATCATTGTGCAAAATGCTGTATTCAGTGTGACAGGTTCTTAAGGCCAGTTCATGGTTAGAAAGTCTGAATGCTATTTGTCAATGAGAAATCATTCCAAAATACAAATAGTGTAATGGGTTTTGTGTTTTCCCACAAGAGTTCTGTTCAGATTTTCTTCTGAAAGTCTTACTAACACTGATTGAAAACATTCCAATTGTAGGTTGATGCAATCAATGCACTTCTAAAAGGACCGGTAATAACTAAGGCCTTTGAAGAAACCAAGCACTTTCCAATGGACCACAGTTTGCAAGGTAAAGACAAAGGTTGATTGTATTTAATAACGTGATTTGCTAGGACTTAAGAGCTCAATGAATGCAATATGATAAACGGCCACACAGTTACTTAACTTTGCAGCCTACCCAGTCATACATTAATGGCTGGTACCGTGTCTGACCATCGAAATTTTGCATCCTTAAAAGGTCATTTTCACATTAATTCCTTCTGAAACACACAGAACACTTTTCCGTTATATGCTGCTGAATCCTCACAGCTCTTCTACAAGTCTCCAAATCTGTCCTCTGATGTGAACACAGATAGGTATCTCAAAAGGTACAGTGTAGAGATAGGTCAGGTACAAGGTAAATGAGCACTCTGATAAGCTGATGAGGGGCTGACCACTGTAGATCTGAGGCACCAAAAGGTTCTGCCTGAGTTTGCTTAATGACTTACTCTGCTTTTCTTCAGATGGATAATTGCCAGAGTAAACTCATCTTCACATGACACTTATTTTGAAAACGGATTCCCATAGAGAGCAAACAAATGATACTGTGTTTTCTTTTCCCTCAGGGAGCATGATGAGGCTTTGGTCTTAATGGTTTTGAGGCCCAGGATGTGGTTTCTTCCCTCGCTGAAATACACAGGACTTTATTTTCTGAACATTTGCTGCATTTCCTTTCCCACTTGAAATCTGAAATGTTTCCTACTATTCCTACTATATTTCAGGTGCTGTAGTCATGCCCCCCTGCTCCAGCCTTTGACAAGCTCTATTTTTAAGTTACAGTGGCAAACTCTAGCTTTTTCTGCCTTTTTTTTTCCTGACTCCAGAAATAACTCCTATGAAGTTCTGTTACATGAACTCATCTCTACAAACACATTCACATTTAGGTAGAATATCTGTTAGTCTTTCCATGCACTGTTGTGAAGAAATAAGACACCTGTGTTCACTTCCTTTATTTTATGTTCCTTAAACAGAGTCTCATTTATTAAAACCAGATTAATTACACTGAGAGAGTCTTTTAGTTAACTGAAGTTAACCGAAGACCCCACATTCATCACAGCAAGGAACAGACAAGCTCTGCTTACATTCAGCTGGAATCCTGGACCAAAGTGACTGTTTAATAGCTACCATGGACACCTTTCAGTGATGGATGTAAATTTGAATGCTATCCCGTTTCTGTTCATGAGCAGTTTTTTTCTGTGTTTCTCTGTCTCCTTATGCATTCTATCACCAACAATGGGGCATTTGGCTTAACTACATAGCTAAGTCATGGAGAATAAATCTTCTACTCTGTAATTAAATAATTAGCTTCCATCAGGTGAAAGCAAGCAGAATATTTCATAACTTCTCATGAGTATTATGGGATGTGACAGCTGCAGCCAAAAAGTTGACCTGATTCTGCACCACCAGAAACTCTAGATCTACCCGATATAGCTGCCTACACGTTATTGAAGGCAGAGAAAACAGAAGGGAATTCTGTGCTTTGAGTAGCACAGAGCTCCTTTCACTGTGCATGTCACCCATGTACGTAACTTCTAGTCCACAATCCTGAAAAAAATGCTAGGAGACTGCTGATCATGAGACTATAGGAATAGCCTTTTTTCCTTCTGTATTAGATCTGTTTAAGAACCTTTTTCATTCACAGTTGTTGCTGTTGATACTGTATCTCTGCTTTCATCTGTACACACATTATAACTCATAAGCCTCCTCATAACTGAGCTATGTAGTGTTTCCTTAATGGCTAACAAACTCAATTTTTTCTAGAATTTAAACAGAAGGAAGAAACCACAGTTAGGTGCCGGAATAATATTCAAGCCAGCATTCAAGAAGATCCATGGAACCTTCCATTGTGCATCAAGAACCTTGTTGAAATCATACAAAAACACGTGGAAGGTCTGTAAATAAGGAAAAGTTTGTTATCGGCTTCAGGGAGAAAAGATCTTGATCTAATCAAGCCTAGCAGTTCATTTTATCTCAGTTTGTAATAAGGCTGTACTGGGCTCTAGAGAAGAACAGGTAAAACAGGTTATTGTTTGCAGAGTCCCAGTGCTCTATGGTAAAATCTCACCTGTGCAGCAATTCCAAAGAACTTTCTCTCCCTTATTTTATTTCATCAGCCCATTCAGACAGAATGTACCAGACTGATCTGTTTCCCTGTGCTTTTTTTAACCCTTTTAGAAAATGAAGAGAGATAGGCTTTGTATATTCCAAAATTAAATGAATGCTAATCAGATACTACAACATCCTAAACCATTGCAGTCTGGTTGAACTGGAACAGGAGCTGAATCTGATGTCCAGTAACCTCTTTTAGGGATTCATCTGGATGTGCAATTCGTTTCCAATAACTTATGGTCGTTAACAGAGCATTTAGCCTGTAAAATTCTTTGATTTACACCTTGTTTCTTTTTCAGTCATTAACATGTCTGTGCGAGTAAGGACTACTAGAGTAAATAGCAATGGCCACGTAGGGGCCAGGGATTGTGGGGAATGAGGAGACTGTGAACCAAATGCAATCAAATCTACCTTGGTGTCATGTTGACTAGAGCATTCCTTTTCTTCACTGTTTTAGATGGGAAGAATCAGCTGCTTTTGGCCTTGTTAAAATGCACAGGTAACGGGTTTTGATTTGTTGCAAAACAATATCATATATACATAAGTCCCTAACACTTAAAAGTTTTGCGCGCATGCATGTGCATACATCAGAATGTTATGTTTTTCCTTAGCATTTAGGTTTTTCCCTGTCATTTTATGCTAACATTTCTTATGCTGTGCATCTAGGGCAACTTTTCTATGCTTCTGACGTCTGTTCTTCAGTTTACATTATTTCAATTCACTGTAGGCTGCTTGTGTTACCTGGCTGGTCGCTGATGTTTCACAAGCACTGTTTTTCTTTTTACTGTCTTCATTTTTTCCTTTGTATGATCCTCCTTCCCAGATGGCCTTTACTGTTTCCTGCTGTGGTGAGAACATGCAGCAAAAATGAGATCTATGGCACAACTTTCTGTGAGACCATGGACTCTGTCATCTTTCCAAACAGAGCAGGCGTGTTAGGAGTTAGGGTTATGAATACTGAAATTATAGCCCGGAGCAGGCTAAGAACCTAAATATGCAGGCAGCACCTAAATACGCTGTGGACATCATTAATCTCTTACCATGCACAAAACAATGTGCTCTCAGATCAAGGGACAGGCCTTTCCCAGGAGTGAATGTGCAGTCTTTTTGTAATTGAAACACCTACTTGGTGTACTTTTGTTTGAAAATGAGGTAATAAATAACTGGAATAGGCTGTCGTTACTTCACTGTGCCAGGCTTGATTCTCAAGTCTTCACAGAATGAAGATGAGAGATTTGTAAGGCTCACGGCCACCTCTCAGCTCCTGCCAGGGCTGGTGCATGAGTCTGCCCAAACCAGCCAGTGGAATCAGTCTAGTGGCCATAAAGGCTGGGTTTACTGATAGCAGATATGATGACTCCCTAAGTCTCTACCTGTGCCCCATCTCTGCGGCATTTCCATGAAGGTCACCTGTAAAGATTGGAGGAGCAGATGGCACGGAAGTGGCTCCGGCAGCTGTACGGCACCAGGGATTCCCCTGCCTTGAAGGCAGTCCTAAGCTCTCTTTGCCTTACTTCCAGCAGCACGGAGGTGTACGGCTAGAAGGACTGGTTGCCCTTAAGTTGAGAATATGGCCCAGGGCCTGGAGTGTATTAGTCTATTGTGTTCAGTGCTTTATAAAAATAATCCAGATCTTCAAAGCCTCTGGGTGATGTCTTCAGCTTCTTTCTCTGGGGGAGACTGCCTTGACAGTGGGAGACTGCTGTACCGCAGTGCCTGCTGGAGGAGCCCAGGGTGCCTGGGAAGTAGCTCTTCACTTATTCATGTGCCTCTTTGGCCTGCAATCCCCTTAAGTGTGACAAGGTTGATTTGACCAGCATCTGGCTGCCTGGCAGGTGGACTGGAAGCAAAGTTAACACAGGGGAAATTCTCCCAGGAAACATAAACCAATTGGTACCGTATGGGTAGGCCCAGTTAATGCATTAAGCATATGGGAAGCCCGCAAAATACAGATGGGTGGGGGAAGATGAATCTCTAATAGCCCAGGAGAGAAGTAATGGCAGAGACCTTCTTTCAAGAATTCTCTTGCTTCTGTAAACATCAAAAGAAAGGAATCAGTCCAGATATGGCACTAAGGAGTTACAGCTCTTCCCAGTCAGAAGAATGAGCATGCAGATGGCAGAGGTAGTAATAACAGTCAAGTGGACTAGAAAATTTTCAAACATGCATGTACTCCAGCTATGCTGTCTTTACCGATACACCCAGGTCACACAGCAAGAAGGGGTTATCTGTTAATTCTGTGCCAAGCTACAGCAGACGCTAAATGTCACGCGCACACACGCACGCAAATTGCTTCTTTGGCAGCGAGGGTAAAGACAAGTATACTCATGACTTCTTTATGCTTCTCTCCCCTTCTCTGGCAGATACTGAGCTACAGCTGAGACGTGATTCCATCTTCTGTCAGTCTCTTGTGGCTGCTATTTGCACCTTTTCAGAGCAGTTACTGGCTGCTCTCAACTATCGATACAACAACAATGGGGAATACGAAGAGAGCAGCAGAGATGCCAGCAGAAAATGGCTGGAACAGATAGCAGCCACTGGTGTTTTACTGAACTACCAGTCTCTTCTCTCCCCCTCTGTGGTAAGATGAAGAGTTGTGGCACCCTTGGGTCTGCTCACACTTGCCTGTACGCTTCTCTGCCACTCACAGCACCGCCAGAGCCCTTCATTCTAGCAGCATGTTTACACTCTCACTACAGCAACCTCTGGAGAGTCCCGCTGCTGACAACCATGTGCCAATGTTCCATATCCCGTCACTTTCATCTCCTCACAAATACCGGCCCACTGTCACACTAGAACACTATAGGAATCTGTCTGCCTTCGTATTTGGAGTAATGCTGCTGCATTTAGGGAGGTTTTACTGCTCAGTTGTTGGTGATGCATGTGTGGCCTGCCATCTTCTGGTGAAAACACAGATTTCAACAAATAGGTGAAAAAGTTCTGAGTATTTCAAGAGTTCGGACAACATGAAAATCTAGGCTTCTGTTCATACACTGGATGCTTTTATAGAATAGATAGACTGCAGTCTCTCTCTCACTTCCGTGGAGCTGGTGTTTGAGGCACTACGTCTAAGGAGGAGAGGAGCTGGTTTTGCACAGTTCATCTGCACCTAATGAACAGATAAGCCACAGCTACGGTAGATAAGCTACCCGAACTGTAAAAATGTTAAGAGAAAAGGAGCATAAAAAAGACAAGTAGCTCTGACACCATAGAGAAGCAACATATTTTTTGACTTGGTAAACATTGTAGATTGAGTGTGGGGTTTTTTTTTAAATACAATCCAAACTATATGCATATGTAACTGCTATTTTTTCACATTGCATGGAATGCATGGACATTTATTTCGCAGTAACTGTTAGGCTGTTCTTCACATTTGTAGGTATAAAGTATGGAGAAAGAGATCCCTTCAGACTTACTCAGTCCTTAAACCTCTCTACTCTCTGTGAATCACATCAAATGACATTCAAGCAAAGGGTAGCTAAACTTGTATCACAAAGTTAAAGAGCCATTAGTAATTACCTGGCTGGGATGGAGTTAATGGAAGGTTCCACATTCTGCTCTAGGTCTCCTGAACCAAAACATGCCCATAACAACTATACCTTCCTGCCACTGATCTCCTTCTGGCAGATTCTAACCTATTTATATCTGTTTCTTTGCTCTGCAGAAGGAGGAGCGTACCATGCTGGAAGACATCCAGGTCACTCTGACTGAACTGGACAAAGTTGCCTTCTATTTCAAGCAGCTGGATGAAAGTCTTGTAGCAAGTGAGTATTCTCTGTTTCTTTGAAGCTCTTTTTTTCTTGTTTGTTTTATGGGTTAATATCCTCCATGATTATAAATCTAACAGACCATGTCAGACCTGGAGAGCACTGAGCAGCTTCTTTGAAGCACTGTTGCATTCCCTCAGCTTCCACTGCAAACACACAGCATAAAACGCAGGACTCACACCGTGGGATGCTGGTGGCATGTTCTGCGATTTGTAACTATGGTCTCTGCCCGTGTACCTTACCTGTGTGATTTCACACATGGGGAGCTACGACAGATGATGAGCAGATCCTGACAGATGTTTGTAATTCACCACATTGCCTAAGGTCAAAGGACTGTCCCTCCCCAGCTCTTGTGTGTCCTGTGTCCCACGCTGCCAGATCTCTTTCCATGTTTACTGACTATGAGATGCCATGAAACAAGATCGGATTTTAATTATAAACCATGTTTATTGTATTAGCATCAAACATCATGCTAGGTCATGCTAACTGTGTATCTTTTTAAGTATAGTATTTCAGAGCCTGCATTCTCTCAATAAAGGCTCTCCCTTATTCATCTAATGGTGGAGATGTGAAATGTCATTAGATAATCTAACAAAGTCAGATAGCAATGGTTTCGCATTTCTCCTGCTGTGGTAAAGCAGCAAATGTTTTATCTTTATTTCTCCAGATACTCATGTCTTCTACCACATCGAAGGAAGTCGTCAGGCCTTGAAGGTTATCTTTTATCTTGACAGCTACTACTTCTCCAAACTGCCTTCTCGATTTCAGAATGGGGGAAGCTTGAAACTGCACACGGTGCTCTTTACAAAAGGTGTCTATAAAAAGCTTTCTTGAGAAAAATAAGCTAACTGATGATGTTGAAAGATTCAAAATAAAGAATGACCATGAAGCTCTTAACATAATGCAGCTGAGAACTACAGACATATTTAAGAAGCAGATGTTTCTATTCTAGGAAGACCTGGGGAGTGCTAGATTTTAGAGTAAGACACAGTCATGAGAACAAGATACTCCTGTTTGGGGCTTTTTTATGCCTTCCTGTGAAGGCCGTGGAGATATTATATTGGACTACATGGACAATCTGATCTAGTATGGTATCAGGAGATGTTCCCAGGCTACAGAGAAGTGTTTCTGAAGGCATACACCATGACAGAATCATCTGGGCTGGAAACTGGCTTGATAAGCAAATATTCACACCAAAATACCATACAGGAAATTTCCTTCAAGGTGATATTAATGAGGAGTAATTGCCGTTAGACAGGACTGCTTTCTGTGGAGCTTACCTTTATGATACTACCATTATATTCGCATACTGGGAAATGCATTAAATTTATGCAGTAACAGAATCAGCTTCGACATGATCCAACAGTCATTTGCTGAACAGTGAGATGATATAGAGATAAATAAAAAAATGAAACTAATAACATATGTTTAGTAAAATGTTTTCTTCTTCAGCTCTGGAGAGTGTGGAGGGGCAATCACAACCGGCTGGCTCCTCTCTAGAAGAACTTCCACAGCAAATTAATGGTATTTCACTTGAAAAAGTGCAGCAATACTACCGTAAACTCAGGTATTTCATGCTTCTCCTTTGCCTTAAAAGACATTGAAAAGAGTGCTCCTTGCTAAGGACCTTAAAATTTAATGAAAAAGATATTCCATTCCTGATGCTTTCTTGTACAAATGTGATTTTCAGAGATCCTCGCTATGTGGGAAACTTGTTAATTTTGTTCCCATAGTTAAGCTTGTTCTGCAGTAGTGCACCGTAGAGGGTGAAATTCCCATCTAATTTGACTTCACAATTTTGTGCAGAACTAAAATTACATAAAAAGGGGGATTTGGAATATTTTAGTGCAGACTCTTAACTGCAATCAAAATGTTTCAATAAGAAAGCAGATCTTGAAGCACGAGATTTTTAGCATATCCTTCTCAGATGTTTTATACAGGATAGTATACATATACGTGCTTGAAATGAGACACACCAGCTAATGTAGTCCTTGCTGGCCTTTTTGCAGGACATTTTACCTAGAGAGATCAAACCTGCCCACTGATTCCAATACTACTGCAGTGAAGATTGACCAGGTATTGTTATTGTGTTTATTTCTACAATAAATTCTCTTGTAGAAATATTATTTCTACATCTCTAAAATCCCAGTCGTGGAATACACGTATGGCAGACCTGCACCCAAACATCATTTAGAAAATATTCCCTACCCTAAAGAAGTGATCTGAATTTCTCTGAAGCTTGGCTACAGTTCTTTTGTTTAGAAGAAAACATGCAGAACTGGGGTAGGCACAAACCCCTTAACTTAGGCACTAATGAGACTCCATATCACCCTGGCTGCCCCTGCTAAATACGGTATCTGATGTTAGACAGAATGAATTAATTGTCCTCTCCCACAGATGCATGAAAACGAACAAATGTTCAATTTGCAAGTTATGCTCTGTTCACAGTTATAGAAGAAAACTACAGGAAAATAGTACCTCCCAGCATCTAATGAATCATAGAATCATAGAATCGTTTAGGTTGGAAAAGACCTTTAAGATCATCAGTCCAACCATTAACCTAACACTACCAAGTCCACCACTAAACCAGTTAAGGGTAGAGTAATAATTACTTTCATGTTCCCTGGCTTGGTGGCTGGATCATTTATAATGAAAGTAAAAACCAGGAATCATTAAGATTGGAAAGGAAAGTGGATTGGATTGAAAAGGCAGTCTGTCCAGCTGGGGCAGGTGACGTGAATATATGCATGTAAGGCATTAAATGCTACTGCAGGGATGACAAAATCAGAGACTATCTTTGCAATTGTAATACACATTGTAAACAATCTATGTGATATGTGGTGATTGCAAAAAAATTGCTACAAGCCTAAGTAATTATTTGTATTTTTCCATTTCCAAAGTTCATATATATTCTAAATAGTTGTTACTGTGTTGCAGTTACTTTTGTGTAGATTATTGTGGTTAGACATAGGATAAAGAATTGTAAATGTCTTTATAACTGAAGGTGTAAGTATGCCACCGATGCATTTTTTTTATTGCTTTGTTTAGCTTATTCGCCCCATTAATGCAATGGATGAGCTTTGCAGGCTGATGAAGTCTTTCATTAATACAAAACCAACCCAGCCAGGATATTCTAGCAGTAACACATCAGGAGCAGGCCTGCTACCTATATCCTCTGAGCTCTGTTACCGACTCGGAGCCTGTCAGATTACTATGTGCGGCACTGGGATGCAGAGGTGAGATTTAAGAAACGTACGTGTTACTGGTGTGATGAGGACTTTTGTCCTTTCTGGAGATTTGAGCAATATATTTGATTCTGTTCAAAGCAATAGAAAGGTAGATCGTAGGGGAATATAATAACAACCTAAATCTACTGCCATCTTTATTTTAGGGTAGGTTGTGACTTTTAATACTTTTGTTAATAATGAGTATTGACACACAGGCTTTTTTGTTTCAGTGCATCAACCAATGCAACTGAGTGATCTCGTTGCATATAACTTTCAGTCAATGTTGTCTTCAGTTACACACTGAAAATGTAGGAAGTTGCTTAAAAATAGCTTTAGAATCTTGATGTGTGCAAGCATTGGTTCTAAACATACCACTGTTGTTGTTCTTCTTCTTCTCAAAACCATTGACTAAAGAAAAGATTAGTTTGTGAATAACTTTCTATGAATCAATGCAGAAGAGCAGTGAAACACAGCCTTGTAGTAATGATGCCGGAGACTCAAACAATTGCAGTATCTAGGCGTAACGAGGCTGGAAATGCAGGACTGAGGTAATTTTATGGTTTTGTAAGTAAAAAACCTAAAAAAGTAAATATAAGAACACTAGCTAACAGAAGTCATACTTAACATGTAAGTGTCCTGTGGATAGCTATTTATATGTTTTTAAATATGACCTGTGATTTAATATCTCTCGTGCCCATGTTCAGAAGCACACTGAGCGTGTCCCTGGAGCAAGCAGCCATACTGGCTCGAAGTCATGGACTTCTGCCCAAGTGTATCATGCAAGCTACAGACATCATGCGAAAGCAAGTAAGTATTTGGATGTGTGTCTGCTGCATGCCACCGTTTTCATTCCAGTAACATCATTGTACAAACACCAATTTATTTTGATGTGGCACTGTATTTTGTGCGCTACAAACCCATATAGCCAAACTTCTATTAACATCTGAATAGCTACACATATATTTGACAGGAACAAATTAACTTTTGCATGTACAGCCATTACAGCAATTAAAATGTATGCCTCAGTGTACATTATTTAAAGTGTGTGCCTTGATGGTTAGAAAGTAGAGACTATCCAGTATATTTAAGACAATTTCTGCATATAAAAAAACCCAAGTCTTAGTCACAGTGTTAAATAGTAGAAATTCCCTAGTGCTAGACAGCAGTGCTTTTAAAGTGCTTTGGGACTAATTCCATCTTTTAAGTAAACACAGATGACTAATGTATCCACCCAATGGATTCCAAATCTTCTAAAAGTAGTTAATGGATTCTCAAATAGAAACCATACTCCCATTATAATATTTTCCCCTAAGGATCAGATGCTTTATCGATACTGTCAGTACCATAAATTCTCTGTTTCCTTAGGGACCAAGGGTTGAAATCTCTGCCAAGAATCTGAAAGTGATGGACCAAATGCCACAGTGTGCACCTCGGTAGGTTATTATGTGTTATGCGTTTTATCTGAGTGCTGGTTTTATGTTTCTGTAACAATTGTGGAGCCCCTGTTATAACCAAAGATCTCCTTAGTAGTAATAGTGGAAAAAAGAAGAAATTCCTGTTCTTCCTTCTCACTGTACTAAACTAAGTGCAGTGTAGATTAATCAGCTTTGCTGCTTACAATTTGCAGATCATTAACTTCAAAGGTTTTTGCATTTTCTGAATAAAACGTAACTGGTCAGAGAGAAGGGTCTTTTTTGGACTGTTGCTGTGAGTTGGCAAAGCTAGTGATTGACAGCCATCTGTGGAATGCTTAGAAAGAAAAACTCCTGACTGGCAAATCTGACTGCAGATATGCAAAGGTAATTCATAGGCTAATACTACTGTGTGCTGAGAAGAGCTTGACCATTTAGTTGTGGCAGAGCAGGTTTAAGAGCAAGCACTTCAAGTCAGAGTAACCGTACAGTAATGCAGCTCTAAGGAAAATCAGTTGCCCAGCATTACATATGTTTTTGTCTCAAAGTCAACTTTGAAAAGCACTGTACGTTTGTGAATCCTACTGCACCTAACGGGAGCTAGAGATGTTCATCATCTCTCTCTACAGGATAAGAACACCTTTATTTTTAAGAAAAGAAACTCTTTCTGGGCGATTTCCTCCAATTTCCTATATCAGAGAGAAGAGAATATTCTCTAATCAACTGTAACACAGCATTTTCCCACAATGGTGGTAACAAATCGTCATGATTTAGATGACAATATATACAGAATCAGTCTGTACAAATCTCAGAGAAACTTCTGATTCTGCTCTTAATGGCATTGTTTACGTGAAGGCAAAACAGTTTTGGCATGCAGGAACGGGCATCAGATCCAGTAAAGTCTGTGCCATCCCTTCAGGTAGAGCGAGTGTATTTGCTAGTGCTAGGAGTCCTCCAAAGAACGTATTAGTTCAGTGTCAAGACGACTTCGTTAAAACACTGATATCTTATTCACCCATTAAGACTTCTGTGTTAGTCTAAACAAGCCCCGCCTCCTTTTTTTTTTTCCCTATCTGCTCCTCAAAATGTTTATAGGAAATTATTTTAAACTTTACAGACCGTGATGATGCTTACCATAACAGTCTGGCCTTGGTTTATTCTCTGAGACCTTAAAAATAACGATATCTCACATTTAGAACCTTATCCTTCTGTTGGATTGTAATTGCTATTTCAAAAAGGAATAAAACTAATAGTCTGTGTTGGCTCCTGTACCGTGTCCCCAGTGTCACACATCAGCATTTTAGCAGCATGGATATTTTGCCTTATTAATGGCTGTACATTACTTTGGTTTCATTTTTATGACCATAACAGCATGCTACGTTCAAAAAGAAACAGCTTTACAAACAAATCATAAGATGAGGCATTTCTCTTCTTTCATATACGCTCTAAATCACAATGACAAATTCCAAAACTGTTTACTTGGGTTATTTCAGGGCAATAAAACTCAGATACATGTGTTCCTACTGGGTTCCGTCATCATAATGTGAAATAAAACTGAGCAAAGTTAAAAGGAGATCTGGTGAATTAATGTTTATTCTCAGGATTGTATTTCCTAGTATTGAGGTTTGTCAAACTCTGTAGTAGCAGTCTTGAAAGAGAAGATATAAAAGACTCAAGTTTATTCAAATGTAAAGTAGAAAAAGCCAACAAAGCGCTACCACAAACAGTCACATATGAATGACAGTCAAGATGTGCTTAGGTTTAACCACTGGTTAAATTTGCTAATCTTGTGATTCAAAAATTTCTCTGAAAGTATGATGGCTAACTTTAAAGTTTGTTCAACCGTGTCAACAAGCAAATACGTTCTTTTATCTGTTTGGTATCCCAGTCTGTACGAGGAGTGAACTCTTTTGTTCAGGAAAAATGCTGAGCTGGGTTTAAAACAAAAGAAATAGAGAGACGGGACTATTAAAGACCCAAATTGTCCCAAAGTTAAAAGTGATGGCAAGTCTCAAATAGTTTTTAAACAATGATTGTAAATACTTTTGTTAATAAACAACCAGTGGCACTTCTAAATTTGCAATTATTAAAAATAGTGGTATTCTTGATATCGGATTACGTCTAAAGCTTGCAGAATGATAAAGGAGAAGTTGACTCTCATACACCGTGCCAGTAACTGTTGTCACCCTTATATTTAATACCATACTCTTCCTCTGCATTAAAGACTCTATAGGTTGTGCCAGCCACCTACAGATGGGGACTTATAGAAGTGGGAGAGGCACCTACATTGCAGCATCATGAAAGCATTCAACTAGGAGCAGCCCTGTCTGAGGACCCATGCTAACTGACACTGATGGTGCTGAATCAAGAGAGGAAGAGAGATTGCTCTGCTTGAGTAGGAGATGAACCTGCCGGACCCAGGCACCGAGAATCTGCCTTTGAACTCCTGCAGCCCACGCAGGGATTCGTGCATTTCTCTGACTTCTTGAAGAAATTCTTGAAACAAACAGCGCAGAGCTAAGGTGGCTGTTACTGCCGCTCATTTTCTAGGTGCTTGGAAAAGTGACAATTACACTGCAAGAAAGTGCAGTTTTACTGATGACTTGCTTGTGCTGCCACCTAAAAGTTGTGGAATTCAAGATACAGACTGGTTAAGAAACTCCAGAACGACGCCTGTCTCTCTCCCTGTACTGCATCTGGCATCCATTTAATTGCCAGCATAATTTTGGTCAGCGTCCTTGAGCAGTAGCTTCAGAAACACCACTTTTTCATGAACTGACCTGCACTTTTGAACAACGAATAGCACAATCTATGGTTTATTCAGATATGAGCAGAAAGAATTTCTTCTGGAGCAGTTTTCCACTTCAGCCCAGTGAGAACCAGTCTCTCTATGCTGCAGAGTACACATTCCATAATACTTCTTAACATTACTTCATTTTACTTACTGTAGGTTTCAGGTTTTTTATTAACTCTTTTTACTAATGCTCTATTACGTGCTCTGGAAATACAGTACTATATAAGAGAAGAAATTGGGAGTGAAGGATTTTAAAGGAAACTTTACAAAGGAAAAATACAATCTTATAATCTGATTATTTGAACAGATGTAGTTTTTAAAACAGGTCAGAAGAACTATACTTATTTATGTGGAGTGGAATATGTGTTTTCGATCATGTTATATATACAAGATTTAAATAAAAATTATATTGTTTAAAATGGGACCAACATGCTGGCAATTACACAGCTACTCCCAGTTTACTGAAAAAAATCTACATTATTTAAAATCTTTCAATATTTAAGTAGTCTTTAATACCGTTATTAAGATGTATTAGGGATGCTTTTAAGTTAAAAGAAAAAAGGAATCGTGTATATAATGTACTTTATTTTTTCTTGTTTGAAAAATCGTTCTGCATTCTGTCAGTGTTATCCTAAGCACAGTAATTTTTTCCAAATTACTGTCTGAAAATAACTGAAACATGTCAGCAGTCTCAGGACAGAAATAATGTTCTTTTGGAGTGAGTGCCTTAATATGACCACCCATCCCTAACCAATTTCAGTTGTAGCAGGTGTCCGTAGAAGGGTGTATAGGGAACTTGCCATTCCTCTGATTCTCCAGAGCCTCGCTTGAAACAGTTCGTAGGTAGGAGACCAGAAGTGCTTTGCAGTGATGTATATTCTAGAAAATAAAGGTTTAGGGTTTTTATTTGTGAAGTTGTTTGGGTTTTAGCTGGCTTAATTGTATTTCATTAACATCCACAACAACTCAAAAACTAAAATCAGACTTTTTCCATTTGGATGTGAAGCTCTCCTAAATTTTTTAATCTACGCTTCAACACAAAATGGCTTAGGACAAGTTTGGGGATTCAGATTGTTCTGAACCTGGTTTCTTAATTTTTTAATTTTTTTTTTTCTTCACTCGGAACGAAATAATTTTGGGGGAGGAACATGTTTAGTTTAATCTCTTTCTTTTAACTGTTTCCTCTGACCTACAGCAACCTGTTGCAGGGAGCTAGGACAACCCATCAGTCGCCAGTTGTCGATACAGGGGTTTGTAACCGAGTATCCATTTTGTACTGCAGCCAGATGAGCAGATCATTACTTCAATGCACTTTTTGTTGATTTTAGAAGAGTTATTCTTGCCATTTGCTGTTTGAAGAAGAAATGGATGTTTCTTTACTGAATCCTCAACTTAAAATATACTTAGTGTTATAAGAACTGTAGGAACACCCAAAAATAAAATGGCCAAGATCCTCGCTTTGTCTAAATCAGCTCTGTTCAGCGGAACTGCAGCGATTTACACAGCCCGGGGAGGATCCTGGCCCACACTTATGCAGTCACTGTAAATATTAAAGATGCATAGAAGAGTTATCTAAGGGCATTTACACTGTGCACTGTTTTACATGGAAATGTATGTTATTCTCATTGAAAACGTGATAGAAGTTTTTATTATTAAAAGTTGGTTTATAATATAAGGAAAGAAGGTATGATCTTATTTTTCTGTTATACCCTTTAGTTCCTTAGCTCTAAGTTCTGTTGGACCGTTTAAGTTCTGGTATTTGTATGGAACGATGAGGAGGCAGAAATTCAAACTGTAAGGGAAAAGTTGTTTTTGGTATCAGCTCGAACTGACAGAGTAGAGCTAAACTCTTCCTGTTTGTGCAGTGTCGGCTACAGATGTGGTTTCACTGCAGACTTCCTATTTAAAGTGCAAAAGAAAAACTGGTTTGATGCTGTAAAATTGCAAGGTTTGAATCCAGTGCCGGAAAAAACAGGTTCAAGTGGAAGATAAGAGGGCAATGCACAAGCCAACCTGCAAGAGGGCTGCAGAATTTCCATGGCTAAAAGCAAAGTCAGAATCAGGGCTGCCGCAACTGAGCAAGTGCAGGTTTCATAGATCCGGAGCATCTGATACACTGGAAGTGTGGAAAATATGGAAAACACGGGCGAGATGGAGAAAATGGAAACTAGCAGCATGATGATGAGGTGTGTAAGCAGCTGGCTAAAGGAAGGCAACACGGAAAAGAAAGTGGGGGTTGGGTGGCAGCTGCAAGTAGAATTTCTATGTATCAGTCTTGTAACTGAATTTGCTTAGCATTTTCATTAATCACTGAAGCACAGATACTACAAGGCTGGGGTTGATGTTAATTTTGGAGACGCTAATCTAGAGAAGGATCAGGGTACACACACACAAAAAAAAAACTGGAATACTGAAGGGGATGAAAAGTAATGCGATGAAATTTTACAGTACAAGTATTAGCTCATGCACTTGAAGATTAAACAAAGTATTTTGCTATATTTCTTGTTAATTGATAATAAAAGACCCTTAGTTATAGTTTGTCACAAGATGTCTCGGATGCAATTTCATAGAACCGTGAAAGCTCAGCCTGCACTAGGAGACAAATTTCCAGTTGGGATGGAGAAGGATTCAAGCCACTGTGCAGAGGTGAAATAATTAAGCGAAATTGCAGTAGCTAGATGTTGAGGAAAAATACTAAAATGGTATCATTAAAGTGGAGCTTGATTTATTTAGCCTAAGACACAAGTATAACTGATGACTTCAGAAGAAGATAATAATGAGACAGGTAAAGACAGTTCAATCTGAACATAAATACAGCCACAAAAAAAGGAGTACAAGCGATCAGGGATAAATATTGGCTGGAAATTGTTCTGGACCCTCGCAACCTTTTTTTCCCCATCAGGCTCTGACGAAAACGAAAGAGCTTTCCCAAAGGGACTTGTGGTGCCCAGGGTGGCCTCTCCGAGTGGGACAAGGCGGCCCTTCCCGCTCCAGCCCCGTCTGGCTGCAGGAGCTGTATCTGGCCATGCCAGGAGACAGCGCAGACCCTGCTGCGTCCGATTTTCTCCATGGCATGTGCAAAGGTGTAAACTGCTTTTCAAATCCAGGCCTTGGCTATCTGTTAGCATTAGACATTTTCATATTCCAGTATTCATTTGCAGACTGAAATATGGGATTTTTAGATGAAAAACCACAGATTTAAACAAATGTACATCTCATTTCCATTTAGAATAAAAAACATTGAAAAGAAAAATCTACCTGGACTCTTGGCAAATCCTTTTTCCTCTGTCATATTTTCTTACCAGCAATCTGGGAATACTTTGAGCACTAATTATTTCATGCTTCTAAAGTGATTTGAAGATATAAAACACTAAGGCCTAACAATCAGAATTTCAAAGTAAAAATAATTGGAAACACTCCTACTTCCGCAACAGCATATATAGTATTTCATCTGTCATAATGCTTGGCATTATAAATGTCTGATACAGCTTCTAAGCACCTGGTCATTCTTCAGTGGTAAAAGGGAAAAAACCCCAAACCCTAACCCCCCAAACGGCTCATGAAAGCAGCTTATTCACAAAGGCACTTAGCGCAGAGACTTACTGGTAAGACATCACTGATTAAGCAAATTAGCCAGGGCAATTTGTGTCTAAAACTAGTATTTGTGTAGCACTAGAGTGTTCAAATATGGAGTTCAAATTTGCCGTTCAGAGAAGTCTGCAGTAGCTCTTTATCTGAACAGGGAAGAAAAGCCTTCAAACAGCAAAAGGTGGTTTTCCCCACTTTTCAGAACGAGAGTCCTGGCTTTGGCTAGCACCAAGAAACCATTGACCTGCCACTGGGTCCTGGGCCTGCTGTTCCTTCCTACGCAGAATCCTTTCTGTTTCAAGTAACACAGTGCAGTAGCAGTTTTGATGGTACTGTTGCAGCATCACTACGCTACATCACTGAAGGAGACTTTGTTTAATATACACTGAAAAAATTCTCGTGTCCTTAAGACATGGATTTCTGAGCGCTGAGTCTCACCATGCCCAACTTCCTTTGCTATACTGAGCAATTCACCTTTCCTCCCTGGTGCAGTTTGGGGAGGGAACTGGGGCACTATTTTCTTACTACTGGGATTGTGAAGATTCGAAGGAGAAAAATTGTGAACTGCTTTGAAAACTGACAGTGCATTACATGTATAACATGGTTCTATTGACTTGAAAAACAGGAAACTAGATGGAAAAAGGGATAAACAACAGAAAGACACATATAAAAATCTCTGCTTTTAATTCCCGTAAAAATATTGAGAGCACTTGGTATAAGGAAAGACGACTGAGCATATTTTTGATGTACTTGCTCTGCCCCATTTCAGGATTCAGAAGTACTATGCATTAATACCATCAATGAACCTAATGTAACACATCTGTCTTCATTAGGGAAAAAAGAATAAAGTTGTATTTATGTGTGAAGTTTCTTCAGAGTCCTTTATCTTCAGCAGTTCCTACTCCGTGATCTGAAGAATATCAGAAGTCAGAACATAAGTAAATGTTAGGTGAATAATATTTTAAAAATATGGTCTTGGCAAGAGGATATTCAATTTGGATTTCAGAGTAGCACCTTTTAGTTTGTAGAAGAATTGATAATTCTTTTATCACAGTTTGGCATGAGGATAATACTGTTGATTTAAGGCCCTTCTAATTACCCTGAGAGTCAGGCTCTGCTG